TAAATTTCAAGCAATGAAAGAATATTCAGTTGGTTTGTAAAAAAAGCATTTCACTGTAGAAGACTAATTTATGATCACGTAGAAAATTAAACTATAATATGTACAAAGGAACTTATGTAAATCTAATTACTTTTCTTACCACCATATCCCATTCGATATTTTCTGTCGTCTCCACCTTCAAGTACATAGGTTCTATAAATGGCATAACAGCTGATGCAACTCCAGCCAGTCCCATGGCAGTACTAACGCATTACTTCTGGATTTCATTCCATCCTTGCCTCCATAAAGTACCCACTGGATATAACATAATTTTTATTTATTATTAGGTTATATAACCGTGATATTATATATAATTCGATTTAAAATGCTAACAAATCCCAAAACTTACATGATCTCCTAGCAGCCAAGCTTGCCGACATGGTTTTTTAGTATAATTCAGTATTTATTTGTAATTTATTCTTGTAATCTTAAAATTATTGAAATTGTATGTCTGACGTCTTGGGAAAATATCTAGAAAGAAATACTACACTGTCAAAACCAGTTTGACACAACGCCAAACGGCGCGAATTTCAAATATAATAAATTAAGATGTTATTAATATGTTAATTTTTACAATATAAGTATTTTAAATTATTTTTTATCTTAAAAATGCTATGTAAATAACTTATTTTAAAAGTTTTACCTCTAAGTTTGCAAAGTTGTGAAAATATTTTTCACAACTGTCATTTTATACAAGGGTTTGATAGAACCTTCATCAAGTTTTCCAATTAAATAAAAATGTAAAAAAAAAATATAAAAATGTTTTAGTTAAAGCTTTTCAAAAATACAAAATTTATGTTATTATTCTATTGACATAAATCCCTTTCCACTACAAATAAATCAAAGGTCAAACATGCAATAAGATTTATCAAAAAAAATGTTATACGTCGGAATATTTAGTTATAAATTTTTCAAAATTTCAAGTAAAATAAGTTTTCTATAATCTAAGCAATATGATCAGAGCCGTCATTTTGGGTGCTCCGGCATCAGGAAAGGACAATTTCTTCAAGAATAACCAAAACTTTTAATATGCAACACATTTCAAGTGGTGATAAATTAAGAGCGCACATTGAGAATCAGACTGGTAATAATGACTATAAAAACGATTATATTTATAGCTATTTTATATAATATTTACTCAATTTATGTTACTGCAGATTTAGGCAAAGTAGCAAAAAAGTAATTAATGATGGGCGACTGGTTCCTGATAGTTTCATGATCAAATTTATACATAGAGAAATTGCTAGTGCAGGATCTATACCTTGGTTATTAGATGGTAATAATAATAATAATAATAAGAAAAAAAATTAAGGCCTAGGATATATTTCCTCAGGTCTAGGATATAGTATTTGGATTACCAAAATTGCCTTGAGAGATTTGTATTTATATTATAAACAGTAATTGATGTTTCATAAATGTAAAATAAGTTTTAGTTTCTTCTAAATTTTTAGTTTTAAGTATTTATATTGCTTACCTAAAGTAAATGATTATATATTTGAGATTGGCACAGTGACACATAGTTGCCGGTCACATCAAGATTTCTTAATTTTTTATATTTTAAATTATTTGTATATATATCTTCAAATATTTAGTACTTATATTTATATTTTAATTGACTTGTTTGGTATTCCAAGTACTAACATACTTAAAAACAAATCTAAATTTGTTGGAAATAAAAGTTTAATATCTTTTAAGTATTTTTTTTCACTGTGCAAGCCAATATATTTTTAGTTCATATGTAAATCATATTTCAATTAATATATATTTTAATATTTGTTGGCTATATTTTTTACAGGATACCCTAGAACTCTGCCACAAGCTGAAGCTCTTTGGTCAGCTTATCCTTTAGATATGGTCATAAATCTTACCGTTCCATTTGATGTTATAATAGACAGAGTAAAAAAGCAGATGGATACATTTGTCAAGTGGAAGAGTTTATAATGTTGGATTTAATGAACCTAAAATACCCGTTAGTATAAAAAAAAATATAAATATGAAAGCAATAATTCTTTATTCCAATTTATTTAATTAAAGAAATTTTTATAGTAAAAGAATGTTTTGTATATGTAAACGAAATTTTTAAAATGTCCACCACCTGAGCTTTGTAAAAATCTTAATGAATGATTTCCCAAATTCTTATAATTGGTATTAATTATTAAATTAATTATGTTCAGGGCAAAGATGATATCACTGGTGAAACATTAGAACAAAGGGAAGATGATCAGCCAGCATCCGTCAAAAGCGTCTCACAATATATGAAAACTTGACTAGACCTGTGATTGAATTTTACAGAAAAAAAGGCATCCTCCATGATTTTAAAGGAAATACTTCAGATGAAATTTGGCCTCACACGTAAATATATTTTATCTCGTAAAATATTGCAATCATTCTATATTTCAAATGTAATTTTAAATTAAAATTAAAGGTGCAGAAACTTCTAAATAGATATAACCAATTGAAATTCATACCGGAGTTGGAAAAACTAAGAAGAGATGATACAATGAGTCGAAATTTATAGACACTCAACATGACTAACAAAAGCATATGTACTTCAAGAATTTAATTTTAATGACAAATTTTTATTTTAAGCATATTCATAAATGAGTTATATTTTTGTAAACAAAATATTATCTAATATTTTCATATACCGCACAAAATTTTATTGTCATGGGTAGTAACGCTTGGCTGTGAGAATTATGACATTAAATTTAATGAAGTGAACTTTATATCAATAGTAAATAAGGAAGAGCAATTGCTACTTTACACCTGTTATCTCACATGAATAAGGGGTAATATTTATTTCATACGTAGTATTCATGATTATTTGCAGTAGGAATTGTAAGGGTTGTATTCCACAGTTGCTAAATATCATATTCAGAGCATTAGTACAAATCAAACTTTTAAATTATAGTTTGCTCAATAATATTTCTGATCACTATAACAGATTAATTAACAAGCATTAATTTTCTGTGCAGTATATATAGTGTAGTAATACTTGGATGGCAAATAGGTATTTACTCATATGCTGATATGTTGCTCTTTAATTAATTGTGAGTTTTTCAAGTCAAGTTTTTCAAAAGTAGCAGAAGCAAATGAAAAATTACACTGGAAGCATATTTCCAATTATATATATTTAACATCAGTTTATTTGCAGATTATATTTTGAGTGCAACACAGTTAAAATAAACTTATATCAAAAGATTCCCAAGTGCATGATCTATATTATATATTATATATATAAACAAAATGTGTGGCAGAATAATTATTCAAATTAATTAATTAGTAATACAACTTAGAATTATTTGGCCCATGTTTAGCACAAATACAGCAAATAACTATTACCTACGTTTATCACAATATTAAGTTTCACAATTCTAAAATAATGTATTTTATGGTAAGAAGAAAAAATATTTTTGTTTTATAAATATAAATTAAATAAATAAAGTAAAAAATTATAAATTAATTACATTTGCTTTCATTAATTTATTGAAATGAGGCAAGCTTTGAACACTTTGCGGTAACATATAAGCTTCAATGAAAATTAGAATTTTTTTTCTTTCCTATTTACAATTTACCAAAAGAACATTTCTACATTTAAAAGCTATGCATATGTAATAGATTTTTTGGTTAAATTTATATTTTATAAACATTTCTAATTTGCCGTTTAATTTTTTCATAAATAACTTGATTAAAATTACACAACATGGCAATATAAACTTTGAATACAAACTTAAACAATTCATCTATCACTTGTGCTTAGAAAATGACACGATACTAGTAAATAAGTAAATGATGTGCAAGTGATATGCAGATGATATTTCGCAGATCTTGCAAATGTATTTGTCATGAAATTTTAATGAATCTATAGATAACATATTTTAGAGGTGATTTAAATATACTTACTTATCTATTTATTGATTTCCTTGATGATAGAATGTTAACACTTGCCAAATGCAATAAAATGCCTTCAGAGAAGTTCAAATTCTTCTGTTTCAAAGTCGCTATCACTTTGAAGAAGTTGAGAAGATGGACAATATCTGGAGATATTTAGAGGCGTTCCTTGGGCTTGTGTGCTTTTACCTTCACAAAATACAAACATTGGATACTCGCTGGATCCAGGAACACAACTGGGTGGAACTAAGTACTGTAACAAATTAAGTAAAAACACTAAGAACTTAAGTAAGAACTAAGAACACAACTGGGTGGAACTAAATACTGTAACAAATTAAGTAAATGAAATAAGTAAACACAGAAAAATTGTGAAATCTAAATATCTTAAATTCAATTCATTTCACTAAAATTTATTTTAATACAAACATACTACTCTACTAGCTAATCTACACAATTTTACTTAACACAACTAAATTTATAACAAAAATGTGCTAATTTTACTTAAATAATCATATAGTAAAGATGAAAATGAACTTTAGAATTCTTGAAGTAGTAGAATAAAAACTTAACACAAAATATGATAAAAATGACACTAAAAAGCAATTAGTTTTGACTAGAAATCGGAATCAGAGTTTTAAAAATTAATTTTCAATTATTTTTGTACATTCTTTTAAGAGTATATAAGAAAGAATACAAATATATTACGAATACCTATAATATTTGTTCAAAAAAATGCTTTATTAAAATATTCTCAAAAAAATGATGAATTCATTTAGTTATGATTAATGTAAAAATTTAAATATTTAATTAATCTTTGAAATTATCATCAATAATGTTAGTTTTCTACATACCTCTTGTATATTTTGTACAAACGATTCGAATTCATGACGAGTTGGTAAATAAAACCCTATACAACAACTGGGATCTATCTTTGAGAGATTCATCTTCCGAGGACTTTTACAATGGAATGACTGTAATGGAAAATCTGGTACCCACACGTCTACAGCATCCTGGCAGTAATGTGGATCCAAATGTATTAATTTGTCATCTGAAATTGAAAAAAATATTGTCAAATATGTACAATTCTCGCCAATATACGCCAACATTATTAATTATCCACTATATATTCATTAATAAGGTATCAGTTATACTGGTAGATTAAAACTTTTAATATAACTTCCTGACCGAGAAACTTATATTTATAAAAACTGTAATGTTGGCATAAGAATACAATTCTAAGAAGTTATCAAAAATATATAAAGATAAAACTAATCAAATTTACCTTGATATCCTATAAAATATAAGGAATGCCTTGGCCTTCCACCAATAATACCTATACAACTTTCCTGACTCAACATAGCCAGCAAACAAGGACCATAAATTTGATTTAATTTTTCTGCTCCTGCAATTTAGAATAACATAAATAGATAATCAACATTTTTATATCGAGTTTTTGACATAATTGATGAATTATTTTGAGATTTACCTAATCTTAATGGTACTAAAAGAACTAGTGCTTTCCAAGCAGAATTTGTACTGACTCGTTCAGTATTACTTTGCGAACTTGAAGATTTCTGTTTCCAAGGTGGTGTAGCATTTATTTTTGCAGTAGGTTGACAACAGTCCAAAACATCTTGTAAATACACTGTAAAATTAAAATTAATTTAAAATAATTATTGAAAGATTACACTACTCTCATATTAATTTGCTTTTTATGAATGGAATGATTTAATTCTGAATAAAATAACTTATTTTTCAATTTAGTATTTAATTCATTATAGTTGTGATGAATTTGACAAATTAACTTATTAATAAAAGTAATAAATATTTTTTTATATTTATTAAAAATGAAGCATGTGATATTATTTTATAACTTTTATAAATATGACACGTTTATATATATAACTTATAAAATATTGTAGACGTAAGCTTTGCTTTATTGCAACCATTTGAATGTATTGGAAAAATTAAAATAATATTATAAGTTAATAAGAAAGCTATATACTATGCATTATTACTGAAAATTATTTTATAAATAAATATAAACTGTACATAAAAAATTATCTCATATGTAATTAAAAATTTAAATCCAGCTAGATCAGTAATTTTAACAATTTCTCTCATATTTGTGGAACAAATCTAATACTTAAAATAGGCAATACATATGAACAGATAACCTTGTAATATTCTAAAAATAGAACTAGCAAATATTGTTATTATAAACTGATTACAAATTCTCACCTGCGCAATCTTGAGCAACATAAACAGCGAGATTATCTAATTCGGTGTTTTCTTGAGCCGCTTGCTGAACCGCTTGCCTGTAAAAAAGTAAGTGAATCTAGTTGAAATATTGCTTCAGAAAATACTAAAATTATAAAAGTTGGGTTTTTGATAAAACCTTCAGAAAACCATATAAAATAAAATAAGTAGACAATAATGCGTTTCCTAGCAAATCTTGCAACAACCTATCAAGAGCTTGAATGATTTTTTTAATGAGCTATTGTCTATTTTACAGTCAGTTTAAATTTTTAAATATTTCAAGCATTCCTCATTATTTGAAAATATTAATATCAATGATAAGTTCAAGACATAATGAATCGGAGAAAAATCATGAGTCTTCTTTTTTCTACAAGATTGTGGATGGCATCATAGAATCACCAGAACTATTAGCAAAAATATAATTTGTCACACCTAGACAAGGACTTCGATCAAATAGAATTGCCAATAAAACTAAATCCTCAAAGAAAACGTGCGTAGTTAGTATTCAAATTTATATTAGTAGATTTTTAAGTTATAAACTTAATAAAATTATTAGTGTAATATTATAAATTTACTGTACGTAGCCGATTGGCGTATATATAAGTAAATAAATAATGATCTATGCTAATATGCCATCCAATGTAGAAGTTAATTTATTTAATTTTTAGGAAAAAAAGTTGCCAAGATCAATCTAGAAAAGAACATTTTCTCAATTTCTCCCTGCGCATTCAATATATTATTTAATATATTATTTATATATTATTCGATTAGACATATGATATGTTTCACTAGAAATAACTAGTGTTATGAAGTGATTGAAGATAATCAGTATTTGCTTCTGAATGCATATATCAGCATTTTAGCGAAAATAAATACATACAAATATTAATAAAAGTACAACCAAAATCATCAAACAAAATATTATCTCTACTGTACATTTGGCCTTTTGCAAAAAAAATCAATAAACTGATCTAATAAAATATTGAAAAATATAAAATGAATATAATCATATTAACAAAAATAGATGACAAAACAATATATGGGCCCGTCCTGGGGTCTTCAGCGTTGCATACCATTTTTTTTAGCACTCTATTATTTTAACTGGTTTAACAGTTTATCATTAAAATTATATAAATATTAAGGTTATTTTTTCAAATACTTCTTAATAATTCTGGATTTAGTACACAAAGAATTAGATAGAATCTAAAAGCACATTCATTATTAATTTATTTAGAAGATCGAAGCAAATCGCGGGTGCTCATAATCAAATTGTCGAGGTTTCTTTCGTTGTCGCACTACCGAACTATTCTTAAATTCTTAGATTTCAATTATTTTTAACGCATGTGTAATATTAATATTTGGATTTTGAAACATTTTACTTACGTAGTTTGAGGATTTTATGCAATTTATTCCAATGAGCAAATAAAAGAAGCCCAAAAAATGTTAGCCTTGCATTATTAAACATAACACTGATAATTCATGTTGGATTATTTTGATTTAATTTTTCATAATTTAAAATATCCAAAATTGCATCGTAAATTTCTCCTAAATGATATAAGGACGAAAGTGTATGTATTCATCTTTACCTTCCCATCGTATATCAGATTGTTGTTTTAGAGTTAAAATTTTAACGTATTTTAAAAGCATTGTCCAAAGATTAGTAGAAAACGCAAAGAAATTATATATTTCTTGAATGTTTTTCAAAAAACTATATTATAAATTTCATATCATAATCTCGTGTTGGCGCCCCCTAAGGCGTGCGCCCGCATTTTTTGCATGCATTGCATTCAAAGTGGTCCGGCTCTGCATATATATATATATATATATATATATATATATATATATATATATATATATATACAGTTCAAAAATATTCGGTTGAGATAGTATGGGATAGAAAAGTGCTACTACTAATGACTATCAATAAATATTTTGAGCAAGTTTCATGCATGATATAATTATTATTTTTATATTGCACAAAGTAAATTATTTCGCAGTTAGGTTTGGCGTTCAGTAATAAATAATAAATTATAAATTACTTTAAAAGATGTGCCACAGCCCCTGGTCCGTACCAGTCACCAGCCCGTCTGCCGGCCTGCTCTCCAAGGGCTACCAATGCGTGTATGGAAAGCGGGCTGTTCTTGGAGGATTTGTCTCCGAACCATTTCACAATCATTCGATGCAACCTGTCTTCTTGAAATGCAGCAGCAGTCATGTGCATCCCACTGCGTTCACCATGCCAACGCCAGCCTGAGAAAAATATAATGTAAAACTTAGTAGCTAAATAGAATAACCAGTGGTGCCTTAAGGCAAATTGCTGAAACTTCCTGTACCAAAAATTATTTTATTTAAAAAAGACTAATTTTTTTTTGAAAAATTTAATTTTTGAGAAATTTTGAATTTTTGAAAAAAAAATTGACTTTTTTGGAAAAAAGAACTTGAAAAAAATGTTTTCTTTATTTTGAAATATTTTGGAAATTATGAAATTTTTGTCAAAGCAATCGCATTGCTTAGGCTGCATAGAGACAAAGTTACTGAACTCATAGAAAGGTAAACACATTATTAAAAAAAATGATACAGATTATTAAAATCTTTATAAAATACCTGATTATTTGATGTGCAAACGTCTAATGATTAATTTTGACCGCCAAATGGTATTTCATTTTACTTTTTTTACTAGTTCTCCGAAACCGCTAGACCTGTCTTCCCAAAAATTGTATAAGTTCTTCGTCTTGTCAATACAAGTAAAATGTTTTTTGAATTATTAAAATCGGACGCTTCGCTCTCTTAAAAAATGAGTTACCGTTTTTGGCACTTTCTGCCCCGTATCTTCGAAATTGCTAGACCTTGCCTTTACCAAAACTAATCAGCACGTCTCCTTATCAATACAAATCGAATGTTTTTTGAATGATTCAAATCGGTTGCTCGGTGGAACATCGTCGACGAAAATTTGTATCCGCACAAACACACATACATTCATACACACACACATACATCAATTTTTTCTAAGGTATGCCAAAATATTCAGAAACCTTTGAAACGTAAAGATATTTAAAAAAATTCATTTTCGATTTTTTTGCGATTACTATAACTTACCCTACGGGAGTTAATAAAAAATCACATTTGTTTTAGTTTTCTAAAAGAAAAATCAGTAATTAATTTATAGTTTAATGGGTTCATTTAATTAATTTATAGTTAAAACGCAATGCGTGGTTATTCAAAGTTTAATTATTTATCAGAACTATTATTTGTGAAATGAACAATTTTTAGTTTGGTTGAATCTTCACTTATTGTTAGTAATTATCATAGACCATGCATAGACCTATATTAAATTATTTGCCAATCTATTTAGTTAAGTAATTAATTCGACATCCAAGTAATACAAATTGATTTTGAATTTTACAATTTTGTTAAAAATTCTGGATCTTGTTTATTTATTTAGTAAATTGATTAAACAAAACTTTCCACAATGCAAATTTACAACAATCGATTTCTGACATGCAAAAAACAACATAAAATTAGGGTAATATGCATAACATTTCTATCGTTTGAAAATTTCACGAGGTAGTGCTAATTATTCTGTTTTATAGTTTAAATATTTGCTCTCAAGCCGATAATTAACTTGATGCCGATTTCAATGTCATATGAAATTTGAAATAAATTACAAGTATAAAGAAAATTTTGTATTTAAACTAAACCAGTAAAAATGGTACATATAAAATTAAATAAATTATATAAGTGATAGCATGACATGTAAATAATAGAATTGCAATAAATCGGTATGAGAGCTTTAATTAGTCTTTATTGTGAGCAAGTTCGAAAAACATTTCAAAAACGTAAAATATTAAAAAAAATCTAATTTTATTAACATAATAACTCATTGTTTTGTATTTAAGTAGTAGGTACTGATCTAAATTATAGATGAAATAGCAATCGATAAAACTGTGCTACTTTATGTTCTTTGCACGGCAAATAGTATTTAATCTGATAAATAATTTGAAAATAAGCTTCATGTTCTTTTGTAATTTTCGATCCTTACTGAATTACTGCCTGACTTTAAATTCATTAACAAAATACAATAAGTTAGAAATTATTGTTTTTTAACTTCTCCTAGGGTAAGTTATTGTAATCCTCCAAAATTCGGAATAAATTTTTTTGCTTTTCTTCACGTTTTGAAGGTTTTTGAACATTTTGGCATAGCTCAGAACAAATGGATGGAAACAATTTTTCGTCCACGATTTCGGGTGCACGGATCAACCGATTTGAATGGTACAAAAAACATTCGATTCCTATTGACAGGGAGATGTGCATATTAGTTTTTGGCAAAGGCAGGCCCAGCCGTTTCGAAGATACGGGGCAAAGAGTGCAGAAAATAGAAATCGAGTTTTTGAGAGAACGGAGCATCCGAAGAGCATTATAAATATTCGACAATGTCCTTAATTTTAAAGTCGATTGATTAATTGAAGTTTTGTTTATTTACTTTTCTGTAAACATATATAAGTTGTAGTATTTATAATAATCTATTTGAAAACATTTAATATTCCACGAATATTTCATAACGGTACGGGAAGGTCCAGCAATTTGCCTTAAGGCACAATACCATACACCACTAGTAATTAGTTGGCTTCAAAAGCTTTAAATAATCACTTGGTCTTTAATTATTCCAAAATAAATTAAATGACATACAAATAAATACATCTACGGTGAAACAAAGTGTTACAAGTAATACCTAAGCAACTTTCATTTTGAAAATTTTGAAATTACCATATGGTTGCATTTCATAAATGACAAAAATTGAAGTAGAACTAATAAATAAATAATAATAAATTATAATTATATATAGTTTAATATCGAATTGGCCGGGACTAGTTTGTGCTAGCCCACATTCTTAACCATTACACCACAATGTTGGATCTATTCTATCATTTTCCGATTTAATGATAGCAAAGCAGAAGAAAGAATCAACACATAGTTCCAAACATGAAAAAATTGCTTTCAATAGATCTAGTTACAAATAAAGATAAAAAAGAGTTTTCCACAAACCTCTTCCAAGAAAATGGCAAATCAGAGCTTGAGCCAGCATCATTTGTCCACTCCTGAGCATGCATCCCCAACCACAATCTGATGAAAATGAAGGCCCAGTATTGTTGCTTCGCAAAGTTGCAAATTCTCTGCGATATGTGAGCCAAAGTCGAGATGTAAAATCTAATTTGAAACCTTCTATACCACCTGCAACAAAATAGATAGTTATTAATAATTTGGCGTTTAACACAAATTATAAAAGTTTGCGATGTAAAATACATAATTAATGGTTTACAATCTTACACTCCTTGTTAACGTTCAGAAAAAAGTTTGTTTTAGGCAAACCAAATTGTAATCGAATGATAACCAGATTCTAATTTGATTCCGACGCGAATCCGCCTCGATCCCGAATAGATTCTAATCAGACTCTTCCTCACCAGATTCTAACGAAAACTCTCCTTTACCAGATTCTGACCGAATTTTTACTTGATTCTGGCTCCATTACAACTAAAATCTTTTCCAAACATTGCAAAAATCTTACATTCTTGTTAAATCTTATTATAATCAAACAGGGTTTTAAACAGTGACAATGCTAGTGAATTGTTTTAGAATTTAACCCTTTCCACTCGGATGGCGCCGCTCCGGCGGCAAAATACATATTATTCTCGCAATTGGCGAGTGCAAAGGGTTAATTATATTTCACATTTTTGTAGTGGTGTAAAAAGCAATGCAATTAATTTGCATATAATATTTTCCTTGCTGAGCATGCATATTGAAATATGATTGAAAATGTTATAGTTATAGTATATGAAGATATTAGTAAAGAAGTACTAATTTTAACAAGAAGGATAGTGAATAATTGAATTTAATTTCATGCCTTTGCCATAAAATTAATTTAATTTGCTTGTTCTGAAACAACATTTTATTGTTATTTGAGATATAATAAAGCCATATAAATATTAAAGAAAAACATAAAGGGTACACATACATTTAAACGAATGAGAAATGTTTGTACAACAATAGAATAATAAATACTTAAAAGCAATTGATAAATCAAACAATTATTTGCAATTAATTATAATAATAATGATAATAATACTATCCATACTAAATCGTAATGATATAAAAAGACTATTATTATAAATTTGTTGAAAACCAAAAACTCACACCAATGTAATATAAAGATGCTCCTAGAAAAGCTATAAAAAATAATTAGATAGTTAATTAATAATTTGGAGTCAACAATAAAACAATTAACACAAATCAGCAATTCGCCACCATAATTTTTAGTAACATTATGTATTAGTATTACTATGTATTACTATTTTGTAGACTTAACTAAAAATCGCGTAACGAATATTTAAAGGATTTTTTTAACCATCAGAAGAATCTCAAAATCTACAAGCCCTAAATAAACTATCCCAATATTATAACATTTTTTCTTTAAGTTATTGTATATCTAATACTAATGTTAGACTTAATATTGTTTTAGAGTTGTATTTTACTGTAATTAATTCAATTAAGATAATTTATTTTCTGTTTATCCAAAATTTAAATATTAATATAAATATAAATATTTACTTAAACTTTAACAAATTTCCTTCCACAAGAAAAAAGCATTTATAAGCATTTATAATTATGAAAGTATTTATAATTATAATAAGAGTTTAGTACAATATTTAAATTAAATAAATAAGCTTGCCTTATGCCTTATTACAATATATTGCTTAATTTTAATTACGTTATAAGGTTTTAGGCTACCAACTTGCATTTACGAAAGTTTCTTATACTAATTTGCCTAAGATGAACATCTGATTAAATTTTCATGAAGGCAGGTCTAGCGGTTTCGGAGATCTAGTGAAAAAGTAAAAAAAAGCCATTTGGCGGCCAAAAGTAATCATTAGGCATATGCACATGAAATTATCAGATGTTTTATAGAAATTTTAACAATAAGTATAAATTTTGTTACATTCTTATGGGTTCCGTACCTATGTTTATCCGTTAGACGGCGACGCGGCGCTTACGCGCTTCGATTTGTTCACTCCATGCAGTTAAAGCAGTACGATTGCTTTGAAAAAAAGTTTAGAACTTCCAAAATATTTCAAAATAAAGAAAACATTTTTTTTTCAAAAAGTCTTTTTTCCAGAAAAATATTTTTTTTTTCAAAATTTATAGTTTCTCAAAAATCTATTTTTTTCAAAAATGTTAATCTTTTTAAAAAAAAATAATTATTGGTACGGGAAGTTCCAGCAATTTGCCTTAAAGCACGATGCCATGCGCCCCACTATTTATTTTTATTGTTCAGAAACATAAACCAAAAACATTTGCAATATAAAAAAGCCATATAATGTTACATTTGTTACCTTTTGTAATGAAACACAATTCAATCTGATATCCACTTACAATATATAATCAATAAACTTTTAAAAAAATCGATCAACGATATGTAACTAGTCAAACGTACAATCGAATTAAAATTATTTGTCAAATCTTGCCATGCGGTCGTAACTAATTTTAAACAATTTTTTTACTCTAGAGAAATTAAATTTTAACACTATATTTATTGCATAGTTCAGTTTTTTTTCGAAGTAAGTAATAAATGTTTTACTTAAGGAAATCTGTTATAATTGAAATATTTTTTTAGCTAAATTGAATGTATAGTGCACTTAAGTTAAATTAATAAATAAATACAAGAGTGTGTTTATGAAAAAAAATCTATATTATAAAAGTATGCCAGAGGATATTCAAACTTTGAAGGTAAGTCCTAATGAAAATATATCTTTAAAAATATATATATATAAAAAATCCACCTAACAAAAATGAAACTTTAAAGAATATACATAATAATTTATATTATTATTATTTATTAGGATCTTTGAAATCTTTTATTAAAACGTGTAAGAACTAATATATTATATCCTTGATTTACAAACTTTTATGATCACACTCATAGGCATGTTTTTGAGAATCTCCTCAAAAAGGTAAACTTTATTTATGTACTCTCTCGTACACACATGTTTTATAGTATTTATTTTTCAATTTATAAAAATTAAGAATAAAGTAAATTTAGAATAATTTCTTATTAAAATATCTGCAAACATCGCACTCACTCTTAGTCACAAAAGTTTTGTATACATAACGCATTATTAACAAAATTACGCATATAATATTTATTTTGTTCGATCGACTCTTATGACGCTAATTAAACTTTCAAATACACAATGTTCAAAGGTAACCAAATTCTCTAAAAAAAAACCTTTTTTAAACAATAAATAAATGGCAATGAAGATGCAATAATTCTTCTAAGCTTTAGTTATACCGAGAAAAAATTATAAGTTAGAATAATTATAAGAATAAATAGCTTGGATTTCGCTCCATAGAGAGAACTCTATGATCAACTCTTTTATTGGAGGAAAAAAAAGGATTATAAAATTCCAGATTATATTTCATCTCAAGAGATTTGCTAACAAAACAAGTAATTGAACAAAAGTACAATTTCCAAATATTTTTTATTATCACCTGATATTTTGCTTCATGTTTCATGATATTTGCAACAGAAGAACCAAGATAATCAGGTGTAAGTGGTATTTTGCCTTAACTAGATTTTAAGTCTAGTTAAAAAGATTTTAAGTCGACAAAAGAACAAATTTTAGCTCACACAACAAGAGTCCTGCTCATTTTTTCAACTTTTTTTGCAAATTGTATAAATAATTTCTAGATGTCTAAACTCTCAAGTTATTGGAAACAAAATTTCTCTATAATATTTATATTAGTAGATCTATAATTATATTATCACAACAAACCGTTGCAGAATCATCATAATATTATTTCATCTTCATGAATCATAAATATTTCTAGAACATATTTTGTGCGATATGAAGTGATTAATAAATTCCAAATATAGTGTCATTGATTTTTGATCCATTTATCTTTTATAATTCACAATCACAATAAATGCAAAGAAAAACATACTACACCAGCTGTGAAGTTATCAAAATACATTCTTTTATCAAACTTTGAATAAATCTAGTATATAAATTATACAAACAAGATAAAAACAAATTGGCAAAAAATAAAGCCATTAATTTGCAATCAAAAACCATCGACAAATTTAATGTTGCCTCAAATTATAATATATAGCACAAACATTGTTTACAACATCTTTCATAAAAAACGATAAGAGTAAATTTTATGAGCACATAAAATATTAAAATTATATTACTAGGAAATACGTCATAATCTGATGTAATTTTTTTTATCAATTATGCACAGATGATTAATGTTCACTGAAATTTATGTACTTTGACTCATATTTCACAAATATTCTGAAAACACTTCAAATTTATTAAATTACACACATCATAACCTAGTATGTAATCATAGAAAAAATAACATTATTAAAATTTAGTAGAACAAGTAAATTCTCACGTATTACAGTTTATTTGTAAATTCTAATTGCGGTTAAAAACACGAAATTCTTTAAATTGTGTATACTTTACGGATTATTTAAAAATATATTATTGATAACATGCCAGCATTTATATCATTTGTTATTTTAACTGAATGGTATTGGTATTTTGCCTTGAGGCAAGTTACATAAACTTCCCGATATGTGTAAATAATTCATTTATGAGTAAGGCCGTAATATTTCAGTAAGTTATATAAGACCATGGTATATATCGCCAAAAAAGTTCCATAAAAATCGGCTTAAATTTTTTTTTCAACAGTTAATTACCAGAAAACGGCTCGATAGATCTTTACCTAAAACTAATCAGTACCATTCCCAACTAATATCTTTCGAACAGTTTTTGATTTTTTAAAATCGATTCGGTAGTATGAGCTTAAATGTGAGCGAAAAGTTTAATACTTTTTTCCTTTCCTTTTTCTAAATTTCAAAGAAACGGCTCGACCGATCGTCCCACAAAACTGAAAAACGATAATCCTCATCGAGATACATCAAATGCATTTAAATTTCTAAAATCGGTTCAGGCGTTTTTGAGAAAACATCGATTTACGGCAAAAATTCTGTTCACATATATATACGCACACACACACATACTTTTCCCAAATTTGGTCTCATTCGATTCAGAATGGCTTGAAACGTCGAGAAAACATAAATCGGCGAATCGGATTTTTTTATGAAAACAAAATTCTCCTTCGGGAAGTTAATAATATATTTTATACAAGTGTTTTTTTTATTTCAATACCTTTATATATAAAATTTATGGGATATGATGAAAATATTTAATGTTGATTTCTACCAATTTCAAACTTGTCATTAATTCATCTATGACTTAAAAGAAGGAAAATATTATGTACCTAACGAAATAAAGTTTTTGTAACTTCAAATAGAATTGGCAAAATCAAAAATAAATATTTGTAGTGTATTTGTATTTGAAGACCTTCTAAATATTTTGGCATACCACATCATACAAGAGATGGAAATAAATGTGTATGTTTAAAAAAACGATTGACTTTATCGAGTGATTTATAATATATTGATCGATCTGTATAAAACTTACAAATATAGCTGGAAACACTCGTCAGCCCATGTAAATAACAAAATTCCAGTAGTAAATTTTGTAGTAGTAGAGTTCACACATTTCGAAAGGTTAAAATTCCCTAAGCTTTTAAGTCAGAGAAATATTTTATTTAATTGTAGATCTCTAAGATAATTAAATATGCAATGAACTTCATATCATAATTCAATTACAGTTACTTCATATCTAATTCAAAATATATTTCCAAGTGAAAATAGCCCTTCTCGAACACTAGCAATTCAATAATATATGATCACTATCATATATTATTGATATTGATTATTGTATATTATTGATATATTATTGATATTGATTAGTGATATTGTCATATCACTACTAGTTAAATTCTTCTAATAAAAATCTATCAAATAAGGATAGGTTAACCGTTGGGTTGCCATCTAAATACGCCAGCTCATACAAGGGCAGAACAAAAGAATATGTTTTATTAATAAAAAAATAATACTCACTATCTCCTTCCCAAACATTATCCATGCCGGTTGCATCAGTAGCAAGTTCCATGGAACTAATTGAGCTACCCAAAACTTCCACCGAAGACTCCGGCGATGGAGATTTTTTGTGGTAGCATCTACCCAAAAGCCAAACTGGGAGCTCTTTTGAGAAATTTGTACGAATTTTAACTGTCCAGCCTGTAATTATAAAAAACTAGTGAGATAAACCCAGAAAAAAATTACACAAAATGTGTACACATTATTAAAATCTCTATAAAATATCTGATAATTTGATGTACATATATCCGAAAAAACATTTTTGACCGCCAAATGACATTTTGTAACTTATTTTATTGGGAGTCTGTAACCGCTGAACCTGCCTTCCCAAAAATTTTATAAGTTCTTCATCTTATCAATACAAGTCAAATATTTTTTGAATTATTAAAAACGGACGCTCTGTTCTGCCCTCTGAATTACCGTTTTTAGCACTTTTTGCCCCGTATCTTCGGAACGGCTAAACCTGCCTTCGCCAAAAACTAATCAGCATGTCTCCTTATCAATACGAATCGAATGTTTTTTGAATTATTCAAATCGGTTGATCGGTGTTCCCGAAATCGTCTGCGAAAATTTGTATCCGCACCACACACACACATACATCCATTTTTTCTAAGTATGCCTAATATGTGAAACGTAAGATATATACATTTTTCATTTTCGATTTTTTTGCGATTACTATAACTTATCCTACGGCAAATTAAATAATATCAGACATTAAAACTAATAGTTGGCCATATTTGATTACATCACTTATTACTTATACATAATTATTTGATTACATATCATGAGTAAGAACCATATATTTTTGTATAGCCACTATATCATAATTTTGAATAATTTAATTTACATGTATTTAACTTATTTAAGATTATAGTCCAGTAAGTTTAAATTAGGTAAGAATCTCGGAATTCGAGATACCCAGCTGTAAGTCTGCAAATACTTGTATTTTGCACCCTGAAAGTTGTCTCAAAACCTACATATGTTGCGTACACTCTGCCATATGTAGGTTTTGAGACAACTTTTAGGGTGCAAAATACAAGAATTTACAGGCTTACAGCTGGGTATCTCGAATTCCCAGGTGAACTTACTATAATGACTGGATTTTTATTGGAGACTGTGGATTAATGTCTCTTAATTTGAATTAAAATATGGCAAATTAAATTACTTAAATTATGTTCTGGAGCTTTCAAATGAAACTAATTTGAAATTACGTAATAAAGCTCCCAGCAAATTTCTTTTTTAATAATATAAAATATTTTTAATAAAATACTGTAAAAATATAATACCTTTTCCCATAATTTAACATTTATGTTCTAGAGCTTTCAAATAAACTGATGATAAAATGATTTCATGATAAACCTCCCAGAAAATTTCTTTTTTAATTTAGATATAATATATTTTTAAATAAAATACAGTAAAAATATAATACCTTTTCCCATTATTTAATCTAATTACTGCTTTACTCCAAAATAGTGTAAAAATATAATACCTTGTCCCATAATTTAAAATTATGTTCTGGAGCTTTCAAATAAAACTGAGGATAAAATGATTGCGTAATAAACCTCCCAGAAAATTTCTCTTTTAATAATCTAAAATATTTTAAATAAAATACTGTAAAAATATAAAACTGTTTCCCATTATTTAATCTAATTACTGCTTTACTCTAAAATACTATAAAAATATAATACCTTTACCCATAATATAATCTAATAAATTATTAATTTTTCGCATAATTTAATCTAATTACATTCTGAGAATAGAAATGGAATTTGCATGAAGGTTTTAACTCCTAAATCAGCAAACAAAATGTGTGCTAAGAACTATGTTATTGATGGATTTCAACAGATATACTTAACTTAAATATTTTTATATACAAATAAGTGGAATATACGTTTGGGCGTTAAGTTTATCAAATACTTAAATGATGGAAAATTAAAAACACTCCATTAAAGATATTTCTATGAAGTTCAAGTATTTATAATCAAGTGGTTTTACATATACAAAACTGTAGTAATATACCCAGTAAACACTACATGTTGCCGTAATGAAACTTGTTAGTTACAAAGTTATATAACAAATGTTAACTAAATGTAATATAAGCGCAATGTAACTTTTAGTTGCAAAGTTATATAACAAATGTTAACTAAGTGTAATGTACGCGCAATGTAACTTTTAGTTGCAAAGTTATATAACAAATGTTAACTAAGTGTAATGTACGTGCAATGTATATCGATAGTTGCAAAGTTATATAACAAATGTTAACTAAGTGTAATGTACGCGCAATGTTTATCGATAGTTGCAAAGTTACATAACAAATGTTAACTAAGTGCAATATACGCGCAATGTATATCGGGAGTTACAAAGTTATATACATTTGTTACCTAATGTAATAAATGTGCAATGTTTTGTTAGAAAATATTTTTCACAACTTTTTTAATGAAAAATCGATTGATCTAATTTTTAAATTCTGTAGTATCAGTTATAGAGCACGGATATATATATATATATATATATATATATATATATTATATCAATATTCATCAAAACTTTTGAAGAAAAATGTTTTTGATGAGATGAAATATCGAAGCGCGTAAGCGCCGCGTCGCTGTTAAACAAACAAACGATTTTACGGAACCCATAAAAACGTTACGCAAACGTAAACAAAATTGATACATATTATTAAAATCTCCATAGCCGATTGGCGTATAATAAATAAATAAATAAATAAATAAATAAATAAAATATCTGATAATAATCATGCACGACCGCCTAATGGAATTTTTTTTTTTATTTTTTTTACTAGATCTCTGTAACCGCTAGATCTGCCTTCCCAAAAATTTAATAATGGTTTTTGAATTATTAAATTCGGACGCTCCGTTCTCTTAAAAACTGGGTTACCGATTTTGGAACTTTTTGCCCCGTATCTTCGGAACGGCTAGACCTGCCTCTGCCAAACACTAATCAGCACGCCTCTTTATCAATACGAATCGAATGTTGTTCCCGAAATCGTCGATAAAATTTTCATTCTCGATTTTTTTGCGACTACTATAACTTACTACGGGAAGTTACAGTAAAAATTTTAAAATTTAAATGAAATAAATTGCATTTCTTTTACAAAAACAGAATTTTAACTTCTTCAATTACTTAAAACAAACTAATTTTTTCAAAAAATTTAAAAACTTAGAAGTTTTTACAAAAATTTCAAAAAGTATATTAAAATTTTTGAATTCGATTAAACGTTTTAAACGTTTAACGGTTGTCTTCCTTTTTCGGCAGAGGGACTCAGACTCAGGCGTCAGGTTTCCCAGAGTGCATTGCATTGCAGCCTGTCGCCTGAACGCCATTTTATACTGTGTCATATGCGGGGTTGTTTTGTTGAGTTGTTTTGTCTTGTTTTATTTTAAATATTTTGTAATATTGAGTTCTACGTGTATAACTAAAATGCAAAAATATATAGTATATATGGCGTAAACTTTACATATCTGCTTATGTGTTATTTGTTCAGCTACGTCGAAATCGAAAGAGTATAAGAAATAACCTCAAAATGAATTTTAAGAAGTGCTGTTTGATATATAATATTATGAAGGGTAAGTATAATTTATTTGTTGGTTACTGTGCTAAAAGCCTAATTATTTTTATAAGGCCCGCGTTTGGAGATGTCTCAAAAAAACTAGAGCTTATTATTTGGATATGAAAATTTATTTTCGCAATGCTACAAGATACTAAAGGTAAATAACTGTTTAAATTTCTAATGGCTTTTGAGGTTTATATTTTATTATTGTAATAATTTATTTTTAGGATTGGATTCTAAGTCTCGGTTTGAATCCTAAATTGCCTCGAATAACATATGTGATTAATATGAAAGAATATCGAGAGGCTTTTAACAGCAAAACAAGGAATAAATGAAAGGTATATATCATAGTTCTTGTTAACTAATTACTATTATACATTCTGTTTTAACCTTTCTTATTTGTTTTTAAGGTGGAATAATACATACTGAATGGGCTACAATGGAATTAAGACAAATTGTGAATATTGAGAATGAAGATGTTGGAAGTATCTCGATAAAAAAAAATATCAAAGCTTAATAATGCTCAACTATAATTCTATTAGTTATATTGTTTGTCTGCAAAAAAATATAATTGTATTTGAAAATTGTCATCCTAATTTGGAATTATGTGATAAAGTTTCTGTATATTGGTGTGTCGAGATAGCTTGATTAGCTTTAATAGTTGGACCAAAACTAGATATTTTTATTTCCATCTTTTATTAATTAATATCATTTAAAAATAGTTTTATATTTAATTTGTGTTTCATTTGAAAATATGAAATTAATAATTGTAATGAATATAAATTTTATATTTTTGTTATTGTTTTCGAAAAATATTTGTTACTGTTTATTATAACATATTTAATACTGTTATTTTTAACATTTAAAATATTCTAGTTTATTATGTTATTTTTTTCGTTTAATAGGTTACTATTTTGTTTTTCATTGTGTATATAACGAAAAATAAATGTAATTGATATAAATTTTATGTATCGTCTAAAATATTTGTTGCTGTATTGTTTATTTATTGTTTTTTTTTATTACTGTCTTGTAATGAGGTTTGTTATTGCTTTATAAATATTTGTTACTGTTCTGTTTAGTATAAAATATTTGTTGCTATTTTGTTTAGTATAAAATACTTATTACTGTTCTGTTTAGTGTAAAATATTTGTTGCTATTGTTTGTTATAAAATATTTGTTACTGTTTTGTTTAGTACAAAATATTTTATAACAAGCAATAGCACCAAATATTTGTTGCTATTTGTTTGTTATAAATACTTATTACTGTTTTGTTTAGTACAAAATATTTTATAACAACAATAGCAACAAATATTTGTTGCTATTTGTTTGTTATAAAATACTTATTACTGTTTTGTTTAGTTCAAAATATTTGTTGCTATTTGTTTGTTATAAAAACTGTTTTGTTTAGTACAAAATATTTTATAACAAACAATAGCAACAGATATTTGTTGCTATTTGTTTGTTATAAAATACTTATTACTGTTTTGTTTAGTTAAAAATATTTGTTGCTATTTGTTTCTTATAAAATATTTGTTACTGTTTGTTTAGTACAAAATATTTTATAACAAACAATAGCAACAAATATTTGTTGCTATTTGTTTGTTATATAATACTTATTACTGTTTTGTTTAGTTCAAAATATTTGTTGCTATTTGTTTGTTATAAAAACTGTTTTGTGTTAGTACAAAATATTTTATAACAAACAATAGCAACAAATATTTGTTGCTATTGGTTTGTTATAAAATACTTATTACTGTTTGTTTAGTTCAAAATATTTGTTGCTATTTGTTTGTTATAAAATATTTGTTACTGTTTTGTTTAGTACAAAATATTTGTTGCTATTTGTTTGTTATAAAATATTTGTTGCTATTTTGTTTACTTTGAAATATTTGTTACTGTTCTATTTAGTATAAAATATTTGTTGCTACTTTGTTTATTGTAAAATATTAATTTTAAATAATAAATACAATGAAATATGAGTAAATCTTTTTTTTTATAGAAAATCACTTATTTTCGCATAAATTAAAAGCATTGCAAAAAGTGCTGATTCATATCGCATAGGTACATTACCGTAAGTTACCGCAACTTCACAATGTAACGCATATCTATATTGCATTTGTATGTTACCGTAAGTTACCGCAACTTCACAATGTAACGCACATTGTAACGCACTTGATGCGGAAATAGTTACCTTCAGGCAATGCATTTGATAAGGTTGCCGCAATGTAACAGGTAACAGATGTTATATAACTGCAATCTAACGGCAATGTAAAATTGTTTAGGGGGTAGTTATGTATCGTAATTGTAGTATCATTGTGTATCGCAATATCTAAAGCTCACTAAACAAATAGAAAAATTCCAATGGTCTAAGATTTTTAAATTTATTTCCTTTAGACTTTTTCAAAAATATATGTCAACACCAAAACTTGGAAAATCTTAAAAAGCGCTTTGATATCAATATCATGAATTCGGTGAATAATTTAAAGAACAATTTTATACTTAAGTAAAATATTTAATTTATAATCTTCAAAAGGTTAAGTTAAAAAAAAACAATATTACAATGTTCGAATTACTTAGAAATGATCAGTTAGAAACTAATTTAATCAATATATTGACTATAGTGTGAAAAACTACATTGATGAGTTTTGTCAGTAGGAGTCTTTTTTCATGCCAACGTGTTATTTTTTATAATTTGAACTATTAGCTAGTTAAATTTTAAACATTTTTTGTAAATTGTTCGGAATTAACAGATGAAGAGAACGTTTTGGCTAGTTTATAACTAATATTTTTATAACTTGTAAAATTAATCTAAAGAAAAAAATTCCACACACACCTATGGGCATTAAACTTATATTGATTAGGCATACATTACGATTACAATGGTAATAATATTTTTATATATAATATACGTCAACAAGTAATAAAAATACGTTATCAAGCGTATAATATTACATGATTGAAAAACGAAACATATCAAATTTAAATACATAATGAAATGCGTCGACAAAATTTCAACAGTTTATTAAAAAAATATTAATATATTAATCTATTAGATATATTTGGGAATGTATGAATAATAAATATTGTGCATAATAATAAAATATTTGAAAAAAATATTATGAATAATTCTTACCATATTTCATATTATTCCACATAGACATAAGCTTTGTTTCCACTTTATTTTTCGATTGTGCATCTTCCAGCCTGTTATTGGAAGAATTACCAAAATTACCAAATCCTATCTTATCCCAACTTAGTACTTCATAACTCATTTTATATTTTATCTATCCCGATCCCGATGTTGATGCCAATAATTTTTTAGAATACATTTTATACACATAAATACACTTCACTTAAAAATAGATTTTATTTAAATCACAAAAATATTATTTTAAGGAAATCTTTTAACCTTAACTTAGCATATATTTGAATTCTTATGGTTTTAATATATAAATTAATTAATAAATATGAGATCAATACTGTAACAATCTGCACTTATTTACTGTAGTAGTTTCATTCAAAATATTTGTTATGATGATAACATATTCAGATTTTTCGATGCATATATCACGCCTGTCACAACGTCAATTCTTCTAAAACATCAGTTCATTGAAGAAGCAAGTGCGCCAACATTGTAAAAAAACATCACATAAGCGCGAAGTTCAAATTATTAATTAATTTAAAAATTTGCTTTTGTTTGTTGTGCAAGCAACAATAATAAATTAATCAGTATAATGTGCTAGAATGAAAATTGGAAAAGCTATCACAAATCTGTATGAACAGTGTTCAGCAAAAACAATAAACAATTTAAGTTTCAATGTGTAAAAATAAATTAAATTACAACAAGGAAAACAATAACTTATACCAATATTCATTATTCAAACAATCTTGAATATTTGGAAACACACATGCTTTAAAATTTAGTACAATTACCAAATAACTGCTTTAAGATTACATCAACATTTCAAAGAATTCAAAATGAGTAGTGACAATAGTACTACTCGTAAGAAAATAGTAATAATATAAAAATATCTGAAAACTTATTAAAAAACAACTGTGTTTATTCTAATAAAATACATTACATACATTTGAGTTTACAATTTAACATTGAAATATAAAATTCAAAATATTTTTTCAAAATACATTACTTAAGCATAAATTTGTAAGTGAGCGATTTTGAGTATTATTTTCTTGAATATATTGACAACAAAAGGAATATATAATACTCAAATGAGTGAATTTTTATATTATTAAAATAAAAATGAAAATATATTGTGAATAGCATTGCATATGGCTATGTAACCAAATCATAACATAATATTTTACTAACATTTGCTGTTAGTAAGATATAAAATCAATTCGTACAATATGCATAACACACTTTGCATATAAATTTTATATAATAATTTACTAAGTTCAAATTAAATCCACAATAGATAATATACTGTAATTAATAATAATAAATTGTTGGTATATGTTTAGTATTTAAAAAAATTATCCTAATAAACAAAAAATGTTTGGTAAGTTATCTGATCGTGAGTTAAAGAAAAATGTAATAACTCGCCTGCATGTGTTTTAGCTTGTCAATTAAATAAATATGCAATGGTGATTTGCATTAAACATTTGCATTGAACTTTTTATACTGTGCTAAGGATTATACATAAAGTTTGTACTAGATTTGTGATAATCTATAACATTATGATCTTTAGTATAATCAAGCAAAATGTGCGTTTTATCATAATCAATATGAGTTTTCATATAATCGTTATGCTTTAGAAAATCTGAGTTAATTTTACTACAATCACTTTGTTTAGTAATCTAGTTGTAAATTGGTTTTTGAATAATCTGCAATTTCATCCATTAAGTTAGTTTTTGAATAATCGTTATGTTTTGTGTAATCTGTGGGCATAATATTTGTGTTGTCGTTTGTAACTAGCTGCAAATCCATTGGTACTAAATCTTGTTTTCATGCATTTTAAAATATTTGAAGATTGCATAGGTATTTGAGAGTATGTTATATTTTCACTAGGAGGATTTACTCTAGTTGAGTATTTTTTTTGAGGTTTGCTACCATTGTGCTGTTTCAAATGCCTTTGAAGTGCTGAAGACTGATTAAACCTCGCATCACAAAATGTGCAACAAAAAGGTTTTTCACCACCCGTATGGATACGAAAATGGCATGTTAAGTTTGAACTATTAGAAAATTCTTTTCCACATTCCCTACATTTATGTCTTTTTTCACCTATGTGTACAGTACGCATATGTACATTAAGGTAAGATGTTTTATAAAAGGCTTTTCCACAAATTTTGCAGATATGATTTTTAATTCCTGTGTGAGTACCAGCATGACTTGCCAATTCTGTAGATGATTTGAATGCACGTCGACAAAGAGTACAAACATAATTTCTGATCCCTGAGTGAATTTTTTGATGTGCATGCAAATTACTAGATGTCGAAAACATTTTGCTACATATCTCACATTGAAAAGGCCGTTCACCAGTATGAGTTCTCATATGCAGTGCGAGATTTCCAGTTTGTGCAAATTTCCGTTTGCAAACATTACATTCGTAAGGTTTTCACCAGAGTGCGTACGTAGATGAGCTTCAAGATAACCACTGTAGTTGAAATTTTACCACACTCAAAACATTGTTCAGGTTGCTTCAACATTTCATCTCTTTTGGTCTAATAGATTTTTTTCTACAATTCAAACTTTTAGCTTTATCGTTTTTACATTTTTCTTTAATGGTTTTTTACATATACATCATCATCATACCTCTCATTGCCTTATCCTTAATTAACTATTTTTACTTGACATACACTGACTTAAGTTTGTAGCTTCATTTAGAATTGATGAGTGTCTTTCTCTTGATGATTATGACTATGGCTATGATTTAGTAAAGGAATAGCCCTCAAGTGTAGTTAATACTTACTTTAAATGCTGAATCAGCATTGTTCCGCAATTAGTTAAATCTGTCACAACATCGTTAACAACATTGTCTTGAGTTTTATTCAACATTTCACAAACAAACATTCATAGCCGCATATTTTCTTCATCTTTTACCTGAGTTGCATTATCACTGATGGCTACCTTGTAAACATGATTCTTCTTTAACATTATTTTTGTGAGTAATTATACAATCTAAACCTAAATATTGACGCAATCTCATATCTGAGTTTTTCACATTGCTGTTGAACTGGTAAGCTACACCTAGTCGATAAACACAGTTATTGCAAAGAACTGATGGTAGGCCATCATTTTCTAATATCTTTACAGTTGTGCAGTACATCATCATATCTGAGTGGCGTATGGCAAAATTTTTATTGAAAACAGACGTTAAAATGCCTTCCTGAAGGCACACTCTGCAAACTTTATTGATATCAAATTCATTGTTAACAGCCATCGTAAAAGCACGAATAGATTATTAATATCTAATTAATGATATTACTTTTTATATTATAATATTGAATTACGATAGGTATACTTTCCATTTTTATTGTTCCCCTTCATGAAACAGAAATTCTTTGTTTATCAATTAAAGGTTATGTGTTTGTTCTATCACACATTTCATAGTTTTATTTTATGTTTATATAGAAATAAATTTGTAACAATTTACAACTTTAATACAATGGCACAACTCAACTTTAGATCTCATATTTTTTTTTAATAATTTAAAAATATAAATATACAAATGTATCATACTTCTTTAATTTGTCAAATTATAAATAATGTATTTCATCGCAAGATGTCACTTCATACATTCTTCGTAAATGCGCGAAATTTGAATTATTAATATGAAAACCATAGATGTAGTGTATGTAGTTATATTCCTTTTTAATGAAACTTGAAAAAAAAACATGAACGAATTTAACTGAAAAAAAAAACATGAACGAATCAACTCTACAACCAGTATTTTGTTTGTGTTAAAGTGAGTCTTGAAATCAAATTCAAATTCTTTTTAAATACTTATCACAAAATTAACATAATAACAACTTATAGCAAATTTATGTACTCTAAAAACTGTTTAAAATATGATTTATCAAAAGTATATGTATCCATTAAACTTTAGATGAGTACAAATTGTTCTTGTAGCAAATATTTAGTTGTTAAAATGTTTTGTATGACCAATAGGAATTCTCCAAAATGACGTATGCTCATCTTTGTAGTTGATTGGTCAATTAATATTATTTTAGTTTTTTTTTCTTTAATTTTTCAAGTATATAAATAGGGTGTAATCAGAGTTAATGGCAGTCGCCGGCCGTCGCCGGCACCGGTGCCACCGAAAGCCCCTGGGCGCAAAACCAAGCGCTCCCAGGCGGTCCCTGATGAGAACCAAATGCGATCCTGACAAGACTCTGATGAGATCTCCTATAATACATAAAAAATCATTGAAGATTTTGACATAAAAGATATAAATTTTAAAATTCCGATGAGATTCATTATTCTTATATAAGATATTATTTTTATATTGTCTTATGAGTTTATGTAGGGGGAAGTCCCCAAGTGGCGGACACCTAAGGTTATTTATAAATAATTCAAAATTTTTTTACGAAATGATTATTGAATTATGATTTATGTTAGATAACTAAGTTAAAAAAAAAACTAAATTAACGAAACCGCAATCTTTGCTAAATAATAATTAATCAATTAAACTTTGCTATCTAAAAATATGATTTTTAACAGTGGCACCTAGTACCGGACATTTCAAAATAACCTGTATTGATCACATATGTAGCCATCTCCACACTTTGGAATGTCTGCACATGTGTCTTTGACGAATATTCTCAGATATTGCAAAAAAAGTAACTATTTATCCACCCTTTTGGCTGGGCCACACCGATGCTCTCAGCTGGTGCATTCACGTGAATGGTACCATAAGCTTTTTATTCTTTGACTAAGAAACACGAAAAATGGGCCTATATGGTGACCGTTAGCACTCATACAGAACAAAATTAAATAATTGGAATAAATTACGTAAATTCTCACAAAAAATTTAATATGTTTACTGTCAGGCACTAAGGGACGACTTAGTGTCCGGTTCTAAGGGACAGACATTTTTGATCATTTGGTGGCACCTACTAAAATTGTTTAAAAGATCTAATAATATTCTACCATTTTACGGATAACAATCAAGTACAAGTTTTATCTTTGCATACCACTCAAACGTAAATGCCTAAATATGCTATGTTGCGCTTAAAACAGAAAAGGGTTGCTCTCGCCGTGGCCGTATGCGTCACAGGCGAAACTTGGCGCGTGATCCTGTACCTGTATGTTCCCAGTGTGATCCTGTACCTGTGTGCCCCCTTTCACTTGTATTTTGAAAAAAAAAAGATTTATACACGCTTAAATAACACGTGTTAAATACACTGTCCGGTGCTTGGTGCCGTCCGGTGTTACGGGACTTTTCCCTATACATTTTTATATAAGTTATATTTTATATAGTTAAAGATATGATATAAGATTTTAGTAAGACTTTAGCAATATTTTAGAAAGAATCTGGCTAGAGTCAAGTCAGAATCTAAGAAACCACTTAGAATGATTTCAAGAGTGTTCAAGATTTATTTATAATAAATTGGGAATCAAGTTGAAATTCACTTAGAATTACAACATTATAGGAATTTTTTACTAAGATTTATATTATATTCAAGTCTGTTAGATTCGAGTTACAATCAAGTGGGAATCTATAAGAGCAAAGTATAGGATTAGAAAATTAATATTATGTACCGTACATAAAAATATTTGTGATCTTTTACACTTTGTCTGACTGAGATACAATCAGATACAATATTTGCGAACATATATTTAAATAAATAAAAAAACAGCTCGCAATGGACTCCTCCCATTGGATAGATGATCTAAAATCTACAACATCTATAATATAAAAATGAATCGCGAAATGTGTTGGTAAGCGCATAACTCAACAACGCCTGGACCAATTTGGCCAATTCTTTTTTTAAAATGTTCTTTGAAATACAAGGATGGTTCGAATAATTGCCGGAAAAAAACCTAAAAACAGCTCTTTTTTTTTTCACATACAAACGTTTTCTAACTAAAACGTTTTCGAACTAATACGTAGAATCAATTTCAGCTTTATTGCTATTATATCAAAAGTCAAATATTAATCAATGATAATACTTTTAATAATAAACTGTTAAAACATGTAAAGTAATAGAGGGGCGACGGGGCGCTAGAAACAAAAATGGCATGCGGGCGCTGAGGACCGCAGGAGCGTCCTTGGTAATAATGTATATTAAATTATTATTAATCAAAATTTAATTTAGATATCATAATTACTAAGAATACCAGTTAAAATATGATACTAGATTATCAACATAGGTGGAAAAATCCAAGGTGATATTGTACCTTTATCGCGGATATACGTGTAATTTGTTATACCGGCGCTTAAAAGACTACAATTTCCATATAGTACGGGAATTGAGACTCTTCATTTTATTTAAGGCATTTCTACATTTAACATCGCTCATATTGATGTATATGCATTTTGTTGTGAAGAGTAATTTCAAAAACAATAATTATTATTTTAGGTAAACGGCAAATATTAGTATAGGATATTAAAAATTTGTGGGCGTGGGTACAGGACAACGTCTGTCGGGTCATCTAGTTATAAATAAATGTAAATGTATATAAAACTACTGTAGCGAAATTAATCTTTACCATACGGAGCTCTAGCAAGTAAAGCTTTGGCAGAGCTTTCAATCAAGTCCTGACCCCATGAGTAGGGCGAGTGCTGAGCTTTTCGCAACGGATCGATATCATCTATAAGACTACCGACGCCACAGGCTACATCTGTTAGTCGAATATCAGACATAGAGCTTTTCAGGGCTTCCATATTTGTTATTGTATTGTCAATGAAATTCACACATAATATTTATATGATGTCTAGAGGATAGAAACTAGGCGTCGACCAGCACTTAGGAAAATTGATTAAAAACACGATATGAAAATAGATAGTTCCAATCTATTATTGAAAGCATTGTTATACTAAATGAATTGTGATAGAAAATCGAATGGGGCATACACGTGTTTATTTGTAAAGGTGATTAAAAACGTTGTTAATAAATTAGTGGCTCATAATTGGATTTGTGATACAATATTTGTTCAAGACGCGGTTTATATGCCGTTCAATGGTTCAGGTAATTAATATATTTTTATTAGATATTAACTAAAGTGTTACTTTATTTAGAGCTTGCTGCCACCAGTAATTTAGTATTTAATTGTAGCAATTGATATTTTTAAATTTTTAACACATTTATTAAAATCTGTTAAACTGGTATAAGTTGCAATATAAAATTTAATTTTCTCTCTATACAGATATAACTCAAGTCATTATGCATAAAAGTAGTTCATTTCCCTGTTGGGAATCTATAAAAAATTTTATACTTATTATTTATATCAAATGTATAATATTAAAACACAAATATTGCGAGTAAATGCAATAAAAATATTATAAAGAAGTCTCATAGAAGTAACATATAAATAATATTAATATATTTTATTAAATTATTAATAAAACACACATACACAAATATTGATGTGTTTCTATATAAAAATAATATTCAACCAGGATCACATCAAAATAATCCAATTCATAACATAATCCAATAATTAATATATTGAAATGTCGAAGAAAGTTTGACTTTGAAATAATAATAGGATAATAGATATTCAAAAAACTCATATACATATATATATATATTATATATATATATATATAAAAAATATAATTTCATAACGATTTTAAAAATACCCATAATGTTTGTCGCTTCAATTGTCCAACAATTAATTAATTAGGTTTATATATTATGAACAATTTCCAATTTAATAAAATATGCTTGACAAAAATATCTACATGTGATGATATATTATTTTGTTATACTCTAATGTCAAAGCTGACTTGATCGCCACATCACTCCCAGCAATGTATTATATCTTTTAGATATTTGAAGACATTCTGAGTTTTTGACAAATTTAGTTATTAAAGACATTGAATTTAAAATACCCATAATGCTTGTTGCTTCATTTGGTCAACAATATTGCAGAGATTAAAAAACTGAAATGAAAATTCTGAATCAAAATTGCATCTGTAAATATTTAATTCTTAACAGGAGTTTTAGTTTATCAAAATATGAATCAAATTATGCTTTCGTGCCTTGATACAATTATTACAATTATTTTATTTTTGATATAAAAATAGACAATTATTTACAAAGCTTACGAACAATTTACTTATCTATTATCTTTTGTTAAAAATAGACATTAATGATATATAAAAAAACGTAATGCTTTGTATAAGAAAATAGAATTACCCTCATATCGCTATCGAAACATATATTATTGATGATTCCAAATCGAACACTGATAAACGTACCTATCGATGGTCGAACTTAATTTGGGCAATTAATGGAATTTAGGGCAGGGCTTGAATTAAAAGTAACACAGAAGATAATTAATTTATTAATTCGGTAAGACAAAAAATATATCAATGTAAAATTTATATTAAAAAGATAATGGAAATTAAAAATAAGTCCTGGATTTTTTTTAT